TCACAGGGGTGAGAAGGATAAAATCATGGGCATGAAAGTGTCTACTGCTGGGCTTGGGGCAGAGCAGGTGGGCAGGAAGTGCCAGTTCCCATGGAGGATGCTGTTGGCTCCTTACCCACAGCCATTCCTGTCCTGCTTCTTTCTTGCTAATGAAACCCCAGTTTTGTTCAGCCCTCAGGTAGCCTTGAGCTGTAGAGGACATGGGGCCTTCCTCAGGCCGGGGGTGACTCTCACTTGGTCTAAGCCAGTCCTGGTCGGTCATTCTACTCCCATGGTTAGTAACTGGGTAGGAATGGTCATGTGACGTTATTTTGGCCAATGAAAGTCAGGTGAAGTCAGCTGGAAAAAGGGGCTTCTGAGAAAGTTTTCATAGACACAAGGGAGGAATGTATCTTTTCTGCCTTTTGCATAAGGGTGTGATGCTCAGAGCAATGGCAGTCATCTTGAGGCCATGAGGGGACAAGCGTGAGACCAAATGTCAACACACGGGATCCTTGAAGACATGAAAATGTCTATGAGCTGCTGAATTAACCAACCCCAAAGGCACCCTGTCACCAGACTCGTGTGGCAGATGCTGTTAACTGTCCTCTCATGTCCATTCTTCCTGTGATCCTTCTAGTAATAGAACAAATTGAGATTGGTGGGACATATGGCCTTCCAGCCACAGGCAACACTTGCCAGCATCCTTGCAGCTGGATGTGGCCACGTGACTAAATCCAGTCCTGTGGGATGTGAGCAGAAGTGATGAGTACAACGCTGGGTTCTTGCCTTGAAGACATTGGCCTCGAGGACTGTCTTCCCCCTGCTCACTCGCTGGAAGATAGCAGCAACTGGAGCACTTTGCAAACCACGTTTTGGGGACAGCAGAGTGGCCCCACTGGCCTTGAGGCATTCACTTTGGGAATGTGGTGTGAGAGAGAAACAGTCGTCTACTTCATTTGAGCTGGGCCCTGTGAGAGCGTGTTAGGAGGTCCCAGCAGGAGAGCGCAGCTACTCGTATGCCCTTGACCGAAGAACAGTCCTCCTCGACCGAGCGTGCAGCTTTGGGAGGGACACACAGAAAGCTGGTCTATTTGAGGGTCTTTTTGTTACAGCAGCTTATGGAGTCCCTTAACCAATATATCACGTGGGACAGTAAGTCCCCACATGGTTTCAGCCACTCTGACTTGTTTGTGGCAGCCAGAGGGCCCCTCTGATCTTGTTTCTCTCCTAGAAGTTGGTGGGGCCGGGGCTGGGTTCCGACTGTTGTTCGCAGATGACTGTGAGGATGTCTTCTGTTTGGGGTGCACGGCTGTCCCCCGAGCCCATGGCTTGCCCAGCACCTCGGTTTCCTCCTGGTTGCTCCTGTGCCTGCCCTGGAAGCAGATGCCCCTCCCAGCCCCCCCCCCCCACAGTAGCACAGATCCCACCTGAGTCCACGGCCAGTTGTCAGGTCCAAAGCCGTGTCCAGTCCCGATCCACAACGTCACAGCAGAATTCCCAGTAAGCCTTGTCCTGGGCTGGCCCACGTTAGGACAAGCGGAGATTTAGGAACAAGCAAACCATGAAAACACATGTCCAGGAACGCAGTGTTAAGTCACTCACTCATCCTAAGCCTCTGTTAGGCACTCAGATGGAGGACATGCCAATTTAATGTTTAAAGAAGTTGAATATTGATACACCAGCAAGGGGGGATTATTTCCCCCACCCAGAGCTGTGGGAAAGTGACTTCCTTGGTGGCCTGTGCTTGGCCAGCCAGGAAGGTTCATCAATTAACTGACAGCTTGCCTGGCTTGGGTCCCTGCCGGGCCACTCAGTGGCCCCCAATAAAGATAAATCCTTATCTTCTTCCTCAGTCCTGGACAAAAACATCTGTACACACCAGCCAGAAGCAAGACAGAAACATGCCAGGAACAAACCGCAGGGTACTGAGGATCCGATTACATGTCCCCAGGGCAGGTTTCCACTGAGATCTCCCTCCCTTCTCCTTTCCCAGAACCTGGTTGCCCAATAACTGTTCCGAAGTGGGGGGCCGCCTCAGGCTGCCAGGGCCTCAGGCGACTGCAAGCTTGGGATGGGGCAGGTCAAGGTGCAGGGTCTCTCTGGAAGTAGACCCAGGCAGAGGGCGGGGGCCAGAAGCCCGGGCAGCCGTGGAGGCCCCAGGAGGAAGACACTGGGCTCTGGTCTGTGGGTATTGGCACAGGGAGGTGATGTGCAGTTGTAGCCCCCACCCCAATCTGGCGTGGGATCCCTCCCCAGCTCCTCCAGCCAGCCTCCTCTCTGCTCTGAGCTCAGGACAGCCAAGGCCTGGGTTCAAATCCCAACACTGCCACCTATTTGCTGGGCCTGTTTCTCCCGGGGCCAGTGGGGTCGTGATCATTACACCACTCTGTGGATTGTTGTGTTTTTTTTGGCAGCTGGGCAATATAGGGATCGAACCCTGGACCTTTGTGTTATCAGCATCACACATTAACTGAGCTAACGGGCCAGACTGTTATATATAACGTGCTCAATGCCAGGAATCGGGCTGGCTCATTGGATCGTCATAACTGTGCTAGGAAGAAGGAACCACCCACCTCTTTGTAAAAGAGGAAACAGGTACAGCTCTGGCCAGGGCTTGGAGGCAGGGAGGCAGGGAAAGGGATCTTTGGGCCTCCAGCCCTGCCCTGGGTATGAAGATGTTTCCTTCCAGCCCAGAGATGCAAGAACACAGCCCCGTGACATGCGGAGCCTGGGCTCCTCCACTGGCTGGGCGGGGAGGGCAGCACAGGGCACCTCCTAGCCTCCCGCCTGGAGATGAATCAGCCTTTCTCCTGCTACCACGGCCCCACCCATGCCCATCCCCTTGGCCTCTTTATTCTCCAGGATGCTCCTGTTATTTCTGGCCAGCTGGATCCCAACCCGTTTACAGCAGCTGCACTAAGAGGCCTGGCATAGGGCAGGCTCAGTGAGGTGGAGCCCCCCTCCACCCGTCATCCAGGCTGGTGCATGGAGAGGCCTTACACAACGTGGAAGAGGAAAAAACACCCCAACACCTCTGCCTCCCTTTTCTGCCTCTCCACTGCCCAGTTTCTCAGAGCCAGGATACCAGGAGCATCTGATAGTTCTCCTGTTCTTGGACGGGGCCCTGCCTGGCCCGATGTCAGGAGGGTTTGGGGCCAAGGCTGCCTCCTGGACCCTGTTTCCAGACTGTGGTCCTTTGAAGAGGCCTGTAAACACTTGGCCAGCCTGAAGACCTGCTGAGCTGGCTGCAGCTGCTCAGGCCTGGTCTGGCCCGCTGGGTTAGGAGGTATCAAGGGTGGCCAAGGATCCTTGAATGATGCTCCCCAGGGAGAGGGAGTCCAGAGCTGGTCTCTTCTGCATGGATCAATAGGAACTTCTCGGGACCCCCACTGCAGGAGCCTGAGGCCAACCCCAGGAATGACACTGAGAGGGATTTGACACAGGTCTTCCCTTCAAGATCTTTGGGGGATAAGCCAAGAATCCATCGTTCACGGGCAATGTCTGGGAGCTGTGGGGCTGGAGGAGGGGGCAGTCAGGGAAGGCTTCCTGGAGGGGACATTTGTATTATGGGGAGGAACAGGAGTTTGTTGGTGGAGATGGCTGCGAAACTCATTGCAGGCAGCAAAGCAGGAGCGTAGAGAGTAACAACACATTGCCGTGAGAGTGCGGGGGGAGCCACGAGCACAGTTTAGTGTGGATGGAGGGTAATGCTCGGAGCTGGACAGGAGGTGGGACCAGATCACGGAGGGCCCTGAGTGCTGGGCTGGAGTTAGGCTTCGTTCCACAGGCAACAGGGAGCCACGGAGTTTAGGGTGACGGAGTGACATGTCCGTCTCATCTCCATATGTTGGCTCACAGTAGGCACTTGCTATATGATGGCCAAATGACCCCAAGAAGTCATCTCACTTACGCAGGTATATATAGTTACATATATTGTTTGCATTAAAGTAAAACCTGCTCATTCTAAAAAAATTTTCAATCCTGATTTGAGCATCACATACTGCACACAGGTATTGATATTCAACTGTGTACTCCACAGATATGTACAATCAACTATGTCACAATAAAAATAAATAAAATCAATTAATTTATTAATTAAAAGGATAGGCAAGGGAGCTGGCCGATTAGCTCAGTTGGTTAGAGCGTGGTGCTGATTACACCAAGGTCCAGGGTTCAATTCCTGTATCAGCCAGCTGCCAAAAAAAAAAGATAGGCAAAGTGATGTGATTGGATAAAGTGAGTTATAATCCATTGTCTTCAGCAAAAACATCCCCTGCTCTTGAAAACTCCTAGAGCCAGGGAGCTCACCTTCTTATTAGGTACCCAAGATGGTCTGCAGGCAGAATCCAGGGGTCACAGAATGCCTCCCTGCTCAGCTGCCAAAAAGCAGCACACTGAGCCCCAGAGTTCCTGGCGTCACTCCCAGTCCTGCTGGGGAGGGCTTCTCCGGTCTGGTGGGAACGCCCAGCTCTCAGAGTGGCTTCCACGATGCAAACCAGCTGGGGCCCCGCCCTGGAGAGAGCAGATTTTCCTTTGGCCCAGCCAGGAGGCGGCCCAGCAGGGCACCTCTGGTCTTCCCCAAGATCTTGGCCAGGCATCCAGGCGAGGCTGGAGGAACCCCACAGGCCCCCAACCCTCCCTCCCTGGGACCCCTCCCAGGCCTGGCAGCAGCTGGTCCCTGCCCTGATAGTGGGCTCCTCAGTGTCCTCATTTGGCCCCACTTAGGTTAAAACAGACTCAGGCTTATTATGGGGTGGGGATGGGAGTGCTGGTGGGACCCAACCCAGGCTGTCTGTGAGCCTTGAAAAGTGAGGTGGGAAAAGCAGGCTCCTCCTGTCACTGACCCCAGTGGCTCCTCATCAACCAAGGGTTGGCCAGGTCTCCCTTGAACGCTCCCATTGTAGGCAGGCTGTGTGACCTCAGTGAAGTCACCCACAGTTGGCCCCCACAGCTTCCCCACCTGTAGAACAAAGGACTGTGCGTGTGGATGCGTCTTGTCCACCACAAAGCGCCAGCTGTCAGAGGGTCACTTCTGTTGTGTTTATTATTCTCCTGTGTTTAGCATGGGCAGGGATATTTCTTTAAAATGCCTCTTCTGAGCCAAAAGAATCTCCCTGCCCCCACGTCCATGGATGTGGCAGCCGGTACCTGCCTGCTTGCAACATTTCTAGAGACAGGAAAGGACGGGTGGGCAGCCTGGGCCTGCTCTGTCAGACTCTGCCCCTGCTCAGTCCCTTCGAAAAAAGAGCCAGAACCAGAAAAGAGAAAGCCACCACCTCTGGGCTCCCGGGACTAGATGTGCACCCGCTGTCCCACCAGCTGCCTCCTCTCCTGTCTGGAAGCCCTTCCCTCCTTCCTTCTCGGTGACCCCCTCACAGCACCTCCACCCCAGCCGGCCTGGCTTCCCCGTGCAGCCCCCAAGGTGCTTCGATGTTCACTCTCCCTGCTCGTCAAGCTCACTCCAGCCAACTCTGCACCACTGATCAGCCAGACCCCAGACGGGGCAGTGGCCTCACCCCGGCATGAAGGGAGCCGGTTCCAGGACCCACGGCACGTGCTCCCACAGCACCCACTCGGCAGCCTGCCCCAAACCTGGCTGCAGCGGCTCTCACCTTCTCTCCCAGGGCCCCCTCCACCCTCCCAGGAGGGGCAGCCCAGCACCCCTCTGCAGCAGGACACCGTGAGGGAGGCCACCTGGTGGGCCGGTCACAAGTACATCTTCATGGCCTCGTGTGTCGTGGGGCAATAGCGGGCGTGCAGCTGGGCCAGCAGCGCCCTGGATGTGGCCTCGAAGTGCGTGCCCTGGCTCTTCTTGTTCCACACGTGGACGGCGTAGGTGGCATTGAGCAGCTGGGACAGCTCCTCGGGGCTGATGTCCTCAAAGTACTTCTTCCAGTTCTGCCAAGGGATGGGGTAGAAGGCCTCGCGGGGCAGCACGGTGACGCCGCGACAGGCATGGCTGTCACCCAGGCTGCGGATGGAGCACCACTTCTTGAAGACCCGCGTGAGCAGCTGCGGGCCCTGGTGGCCCCACACCCAGCCGTTGTAGTGGGCCACGAAGTCGTGCATGCACAGCGCCATGAACTCGTGCCGGGGCTCGAAGGCTAGGAAGGCGCCATTGAGGACATAGCGGGACTGGGCGCCCAGCACATTGGTCAGGTGCCTCAGGTTCTTGAGGACGATGAAGTCCGTGTCCAGGTAGATGCCCCCGAACTTCCACATGAGCGCGATCCTGGAGGCGTCGGAGAGCACGGGCAGCAGGTAGGGCTCCCAGCGCCGCCCCAGGGCCGCGTGCCAGGCTGCCAGGGGCGTGTCCCGGAACAGCTCCTCCAGGTCCAGCGGGAGCATCTGCACGTTGGGGAAGCAGCTCAGAAGCGAGATGCCCAGGTGCCGGGGCAGGGAGGCATTGCCGGCCGGCAGCCCCTTCATCAGGACCAGCACCCGGGACTCAGGGTGGGTCCTGGCCGCCGACTCCACCGCGCACATAAACAGGAAGTGTGGGTCGGTCCGGTCCGAAGTCTCCAAGAAGAAGATGTTGTCCGGAGCAGGGGTGCTGGAGGGCGGGCTGGAGGGGACCGAGGGCGGACAGGGGATGTCCGCAGGCAGGTTATAGAGTTGCCCCTGGCCCTTGGGCTCGCCCACGATGTGCCAGTAGATCATGACAGAGATGAAAAACGTGAACTTGAAGCCGATGATGAACAGCGTGCAGACCCACTGCCTCGGGGTACTCCGGAGGAGCCGCAGCAGACAGTCAGGGGGCTTGGACATGGTCACCCCAGATCACACCAGGAACCTCCAGCGGAACTGGCTGGTCTGCAAGAGACGAGCACCACCATTCAGGCAGGCCACTGGCTTCCCTGGCCCACAAGAAAAACACTTCTCATGAATATCAGCCAGAACCAACGCCAGCTTCCAAAGTGGCCTCGGTTTGAGTCCCAGCCTGCTGGCTGCTCACCTGTAAAGTGGAAGCAGTGGGCTATGGGCTGCGGTCTGGCAGGGTCCCCTTCACTCTCTAACACACCTGTGAGCTCCCCGGTGACTGGGCCAGTGCCACCTATGGTGTGCAACCAGCGTGGGCCAGGCCAGGGTCTGGTCTGTGCAAGGACCATCAAAAAATGACGGCTTTGCCACAGGGCACATAAGCCTTTCTGCCTGGCGAGGCCCGACCCCCTGGGCCTGCTGATGCTGGCAGCCTATGACTTGAGGCCCAGCTCATGCACCCCTCAGCTGAATGAACCAGGCCGGGGGCTCATGGGAGGCAAACGCTCGGCTCCAGGCAAGAGGGTATGTCTGCCGGGTCCCAAAACCCTTTGCCCCAGGTTTGCAATGAACCAGGCCGGGGGCTCATGGGAGGCAAACCTCCAAGCAGCCTGAAGACTCTTCGCATGAAGACAGGCTCTGCAGGCCTGAGTACGGCCTGGCCAATGAGTGGTGTGACTAGTTCACTTACAAGCAGGACGCTCGGCTCCAGGCAAGAGGGTATGTCTGCCGGGTCCCAAAACCCTTTGCCCCAGGTTTGATGTGGTCTCCTGGCTCCTGGCTGCCCCAGACCCAACCCTGGGCTTGCTTCTCACAGACACAGGTCTGGAGTGACAGGGACAAAGAGGTTGCACCACAGTCCATGACCTTGACTAGTACTACTGCCCTTGGACCCTCACTCCCCTGGTGAGGTCCACTTGCCAGTAGCCAGGAACACTCCTGGGTGCCCTGGAGGTGACTGGGGGAATAAGACAGGTTTGGGCCCTGTACCCGGGGATGGGGCTAAGTGAATGCCTGGGGGGCATGGAACCCCAACTCTGCCTGAACCAGCCGTGAGACCTGGGGCAAGTCACTGAACTCTCCGGATTCAACCTTCCCACCTGCAGGACAGAAACACTGGAACCCACTCATGGGTTATGTTCATTCATTCACACATTCGTTCATTCAGCAAATATTGATTGTCCATCCGTACATGCCAGGTGACTTTCTCAGCACTGCACACATATTAACTCACTAAACCCTTATAACCATCTCTTGGGGTGGCAATCACCACCTCCATCTTACAGATGGGGAAATGGAGGCACAGGGAAGTTTAGTACTTGTGCAGTCCCATAGCCAGTACCTGGTAGGGCAGGGGTTAGAACCCAGGCCACTGGCTGGAGTCTGTGCTCTCACCACTGTACCACCCTGCCCGGGAAAGGAGGCACAACAAAGCCAGTGCACCAGAAGAGCTCAGTGACATTGACCTGCGCTGTATTTACTAAGAACAGCAATCCCAGCCACCAACATCAGTGTCTTCTTACTGCTCCGTGCCAACTTCACACCCGCTGGCCCTCAGCAACCCCAGAGGGCAGCTGCATCATTTCCACTTCAGGGGCCAGAAAGTTTGGGCACGAGAGGGTGGAGGCATTCAGCACAGCCTGGGTATCAATCCCCTCCCCAGAACAGACGGAAATTGAGTGGCGGTCTCGTAGCCTTAGGGTGGTGCTGAGAGCCCAGAGCTTGAGCAATTGGGCCAGGCCTTCCCCAGGATCAAGGGCAGGGAACCATGGTGATGTCACTGACTGGTCACTGACCAGCCTGGGCAGTCCATTGTGGAGATGGGGATCTGGACAGCCCGTGGGTCTCCTGGAGATACACCTTGGCTCGGCAGCCACCCGTCTCCACCAACACGAAGGTGGCCTTCCACGTGCCCTCTGCACCTGCAAGTCCACCTGTAAAAGAGAGAAGGCAGAATGAGGTGGGTCACCAGCTCTCCAAGGCCTTGTCTCCCTGGGTACATGGGTGGGCAGGGCCTGGGGCCCATTCGTTCACTGATGCATTCACTCACTTGGCCCCTCAAAGAACAATTTCGGGGTCAGGCCCCACGCTGGCACCTGGGAAAGGGAAGAATTAGACACAGCCCTGCCCTGTTGTGGCAGGTTATGCACCCTGAACCTGTGCCTGACCACAGCTCGGGGTGCCAGACTTGAGCTATGCCATATTTGGTATCAGAGACTGAGGCCCAGGAATAGAAACTGCACATGGGGCCAAGTTGGCTACAGACCAAGACCCATGTGACCTCAGGCCCAAAGCATGCTCCTGCCCCACCCACGCATGAGCCTCCCTCTGTGACAATTACTGTGCGGGTACGGAATGAATGTACAGAAAAACGAGAGGCAGGTCTCCCCCAAACTGAGAGCAGGGCCCACCTCTGGGGACAAGATCAGGATTGAAGATGATGGTCAAGGGGCATTTTAGTTTGATCCATAAAGTATGATTTATTTTTACCAAGAAGGTGCATTCACTTATTTGTGTCACTCTATGACAACAACAAAACTTTAAGACTTCTTCGTGTGGCAGCACATCAGGGTCCAGGCTTGGACCCTGGTGTTTGAGTCTCAGCTCCACCAGCAACTGCCAGTCAGGTGATTCAACGCCTTGCCCTCAGTTTCCCCTTCTGTAACACGGGGATCATCATGGCGTTCTTGCAGAGCCATTAGGGGATTTTCGTGAGATGCCTGGTGAACAGTGGACACTCAGAGGCATTAGTCCAAATAGTAAGAAGTCACACATGACAGAGCCGGACGCTCCACTCCCACAGCTTAGAAGTTGCCACCAAGTGCTGGTGATGTGCTTGCCGGGATAGGACACAGGATTAAGTAAACAGGGAAGAAGGTCTCTGGAACTTACTGTGTTTAGGAGCCACATACTGTCTCAAACTAGAGACCACCTGGTCTAACCTCTCTAGAGTGGAGAAACTGAGGCTCAGAGAGAGAAATGACATCCCCAAACCACACCAAGAATCAGTGGCCAAGGCAGGCCTCACACCAGGCCCGCAAGCCAGTGCACAGGTGACCAGCCATCACGGCTGCGATGCTCACGGGCTTCCTGTCCATGGACTCTTGTGGGCCGCAGCCCAGCTTCAGCCCTGCCTCGGGGCCTCGGTTGCTCAGCTGTCAAGGGAGGACAGCGCCTGCCTGACCCCCGTGTCCTCTTTACCTGCACATGCCCCTTGCTGGCTCTGCTGTCACTGGGGGCTGATGTGCTTAAGGAGGGAGCGGGGTCCCATGGGGGAGCAGCAACTGCTCTGAGTGGAGCACGGCACTGTGAGAGGGTCCATCTCTCCCATCTTGGAAGGAGACAGAGAGATGCAGGGTCAGAGGCCAGGCTGACAAGATTGAAGGGACCTGGATGGGCATCTGCTGTCCAGGATGCATCCTCCCCACCCCAAGGAAGGTGCTCCCCCAGCCAAGGGGACAACTCTCCACCCCCAGCTGGCACTGGTACCCCCATGACAGGAAGAAGAAACCTGGACTCATTGGGACTGGGAGGTTTGGGGCTGGGGACACAGTGGGTGACATGGGGTCAGGAGCCATTACACAGTCACAGGAGGCAGGGGAGTAGAAGGCCCTGGTCCAGTGGCTGGTTCAGCCTGACCACCCAGTGAGGGGCACAGGTATCATGCCAGCCAATCCCATCCCCTGCTCCCCTACTGAACTTTCAGAAAAGTTAAATGACTTGTCCAAAGGGCCTCAGCTAGTGTCCCTGGGGCTGGAGAGTGCATCCACGATGTGGTCTTTGGCCTCAGCATCCCCACTCCCCTGCATTACAGCATTGACTGGAGCATGTTGCCCTGCTGTGTGTGTGTGTGTGGGGGGGGTGGCTGGAGCATGTTGCCCTGCTGTGTGTGTGTGTGTGTGTGTGCGTGTGCATGGCCTGGAGCATGTTGCCCTGCTGTGTGTGTGTGTGTGTGTGCGTGTGCATGGCCTGGAGCATGTGGCCCTGCTGTGTGTGTGTGTGTGTGTGGCCTGGAGCATGTTGCCCTGCTGTGTGTGTGCGTGTGCATGGCCTGGAGCATGTGGCCCTGCTGTGTGTGTGTGTGTGTGTGGCCTGGAGCATGTTGCCCTGTTATATGTGTGTGTGTGTCTGTGTGTGTGGCCTGGAGCATGGTGCCCTGTTGTATGTGTGTGTGTGTCTGTGTGTGTGTGTGTGTGTGTGTGTTTAGGTGTGTTTCTGTATTAGTACATTTTGATTTCTTGAGGTTTATTTTTACTGTATTTATTTTTTTTTGCATCATAGTTGCTGTGTGTGTGTGTGTGGCCTGGAGCATGTTGCCCTGCTGTATATGTGTGTGTGTGTGTGTGTGCGTGCGTGTGCGTGGCCTGGAGCATGTTGCCCTGCTGTGTGTGTGTGTGTGTGTGTGTGTGTGCGTGCGTGTGCGTGTGCGTGGCCTGGAGCATGTTGCCCTGCTGTATGTGTGTGTGTGTGTGCGTGCATGTGCGTGTGCGTGGCCTGGAGCATGTTGCCCTGCTGTATGTGTGTGTGTGTGTGCGTGCATGTGCGTGTGCGTGGCCTGGAGCATGTTGCCCTGCTGTGTGTGTGCGTGTGCGTGCGTGTGTGTTGGCCTCACCAGACTGTGAACACCTTGCGGGCAGAGTGGCCCAGCCTACAGTCTCAGGCACTGTGTGTAGAAGGAGCAATGAGAAAGTGTTTTGAAAACTCTGAAAGTGCTGAACTATGAAAATGTTCTTGGCCCCGTCTCAGCAGTGTCTTCAGCATGCTGTGTGACCTCAGGCAAGTCACTTTCCTTTTCTGGGCCTCAGATTTCCTTCTGCACAATGGGGAGGAGAAGACTAGCTAAATGCACTAACCTTGGGGATGCAAGGGCACATGCTGCTCAATCTCATGTGATAAGTTAACACCTGAGCAAATACCTAAGGCTCAAAGAACCTTGAGGTATCTGGGGAAGAAGGCCCAGGAAACAGCACGGAGTACAGAATTCAAATCCAGATCCCTCCTGACAACTTCAGGATCTGCCACTAATGGCAATGTGACCTTGGACCCATCTCTGCCCTTCCCTGGGACTTAGCATCTTTTTCCATAAAAATGAGGAGGGTGGGCTCTTTGGTCTCAGAACTCAGACCCTCCTTGGTATGAAAAATCAATACCCAGAGCTTCCACACTCTGCTTGGAGGGTCTGCTGTCCTGTACTTCCTGCCCACCCCCACACTCTCCCACAATCTTTCAGAACATAAATATATTATTTCTGCCTAAGAAATAAGAGTGGCAATGATTAGAAGGAAATGATCATTGTAAGAAGGGCTATTTTCAGAGCAGAGGTTACAAAATGTTCTTTCTCCAAAACCTTTAAGGTGTTTTGAAGCCAAAAATCAAGTAAGTAGTGGCTTGCTCTTTGGATGGACATTACCAATAGAAAACCTAGGGAGGTGGAGATTTCTGTTTCCAATAAGAATGAGGCAGCAGCTTTAGGGAAGCTAGGGGGCAGGGAGACCCCACAAACTCCAAACCACATGTAAGGGTGGCCCAAAGCACCTGAATCCAGCAGATACGGCAGTGAGGTGGGGGGGAATGGTGTGCAGAGGGGGCCTGGCAGTGGAAGATCCCAGAAAGCATGGTATTCCATTATAGAAACACAAAATGGACTAATACTGCACCCCTCCTAAAAGGAAGCTGGGAGAAGACAGGAGCTGTGGCTGAATGAACCCAGAGGGCTCATGGCTGGAGGGAAGCGACCTCTTGAACCAGGGTAGGTTCTGAGAGGCAAAAAAGAAATGGATACAGAGAAAGGCCACATTTTAAAGGAACAATCAACTACCATCGCAACAGAAGAGCGAATCTTTCAGCAGAATTATCCTGGCCTCTCTCCAAATTTCCACCAAAACCTCCAGTCAATTGCTGGTCCAGGAAAATTCAGCTAATTCAAATATGAAAAAAAATGTAAAGGAATAAAAAAGGGGAATGGGGGGGAGGGAACACAAATACTTCCTTATATATATACTAAAAAAACCTCACTATAAAAATATTGCTATTAAACAAATAAAAGTTCAAATCCAAAAATACAGCATGAATTAATTACAGCCACAAAGACAGACCAAAAAAGCAGAAATACAAGCACCAGGGAAGAAATGAACAGACAAGTGATGGCAAGACACAAGGACCATGTGTGAGAATGGGTAGATCTCGAGAAAGAAACAGAAGGAAAAGACCATTTTAGAGATGAAGAACAGATAGGTTCCATTCAAAATACAGTAAGAAACACCAAGGTCAAGGATCCCTGCACTGGCCACCAAAAAAAAAAAAAAAAAAAAAAAAAAAAAAAAAAAAAAAAAAAAAAAAAAAANATAGACTTGATGCCTTTGTCGAAGATCAAATGGTTAAGATCCCCTTACCGGTCATCTTTTTTAAAAAAAAAAAAAAGAAATAATCAGAGACAAAAGAATTCAAGAAAAAAAAAAAGATTGATATAGAAGACACGTGAAGAAGGTCCAACTAATGTATAACTGGAGTCCCTAAAAGCAACTAAATAAATTTTTAAAATCATAACTTGGGAAGACTTTCTTCTGAATTACTCAGTGTCATTGACACCTGTGTTTCCCCATCTGTACCATCAAGAGCACGGGTGCTGTAGCATTTCTTAAAGGAGCACTTCACAGCTGTCTCCAGAATTACCTTCCAAGCTGCTGCCACCTCTTCTGGTTTTCATGTCATTGCATGAGGAGGCAGGAGCAACTATCATGAATCCTGCCTAACTGAGAGCTTCCAGGGCCATGAGAATGGAAAAACTATATGTCTTAGGATCCCTAGATACAGTATCAGCTAAAATAGGGTAGTGACAAGAGAAATGGGAGGGGGGAAGAAGAGGAAACAAATTAAACTTATTGTTGTTCATAACAATAGATACTGTCTAAAGAAAAA